CCATACCGAGTAGGACTCGTAGTATTTGAGTTTTGATTGAACCTCCTTAGAAAATGACCATATTTTCATGCTTAACTAGCTTCAAAGTAGATTTTGAGAATTTACTAGTGAGGATATGTGATCAATAGGAACAAGGAACAATATAATAATACACTAGCCCACTGGCAATAGCGATTTGGGGTCGTGTAAAATTAACTGTAGTTGAGAATATTAAAAAATATTGTACTTGTTGGAAGATCTTGAAATTCAGATTTCTATGTGAGCGTGAGCTTCAGCTGATGAATATTCTTAAAAAACCGTTTGACGGCTACCGATTTCTTCCTGGTTTCCATTGGTTATAATAACCTAAATCAGTTTATAGTGCAAATTCAATTTTACACGGTATAGAATGGTGTAAACAAGATAACATTGGTTATTTCTAACTGATTTATTAGTATAAATAGTTGGTAGAGTTTTTTGCAAATACTACAATAAGTAAATAATTCGAAAGGATACAATATAATAAACGAATATTTTTAAGAACTTAAAAATAATACTGTTTTCATGAAAATACATAAATAACAATACATGTCAAGTTTTGTTTTTATAACATATCGGAATCATAGATTTGTTAACCAAATGATAGAATCAGCATGTTATTAAAGCTCTGTTAACAAGATTTTATTCAGACATGTACTAGTGTGGATACAACCATAGAGGAAGAGCAAAGATATAACTTTCAGCATCATAAATAAAAGTTAGAAGACAAAGCTAACTATTTCTTGTCTTATAATATACATGTATGTAAAACCATGTTAATTGATAATAGAACGTATATTCTCCTGTTAAATGAATATATTTCTTACTTCATTGTTATTGTTTTTACTACTAAATAAGCCACAACTTTTAAAGACCAACTCTATAAATGGTACAACCATAATTTATTAAGATTTTCAACATTTTATTATTTATATTAGGTTCAGCTAAATTTTCTTGAAAAAAAATGTTTATACTTGACTTCGATCTAACTGGTAAATTACATGAACTTTGATAAAAAGCTATAATGTTAGTCTTTGTGTATGTTTTGAAGATGATTGGAAGGAATACCTTATTTTGTTCAGTAATAAAAAGGAAATCGATTTGAAAATTGAATTGTATTATAGAGAAATGAATATTTCATCAGTGGTTTATGTTAAAGGGCAGTTATCGTATTTTTTCACTATTCAACTAGTATACTGGGAATTAATTGAGGAGTAAAGTGTGGAACACTAAGTTTGGTGGCCTAATGAACTAATCGGTATCATGGAAACCAGAAAGGCGGTTATGACAAGGATATAACTCTAAATTAGGAAACGATCGTGCTAGAAAATTATCACTCCACACTTATAATCATAATAATAAATTTGTATAGATGGTTAAAATGATTTAACATGATAAAAAAGAATTTCTAATATATTCAGATATCCGTCATACAGCTGGTGTGATTATCCAACTGAAAGCTGAATGTAATATGAAAATTAGGTAACACCTAACCAACGTTAGTATTATGTGATACGAAATGTAAAGTCCAACAATCTCCATAAAACTCGATTATATGCATTTTAACCAAGTAAGTAAAAACCATTATAGTCTACAGTGAAATTATTGATTACGAATATACATTTTTTTCTTGAGCAGTAATCATGGAAAACAAAACATCCAGTCATTTAGTTGAAATTGTACTCAACAATTTTTCTTGTGGCCACTGGTTAGTTATGGAAACGCAGAAATCTACTTAAATTGTTTTATTATCTGTTTCTTTATCTAAAAAAAGAGAACTCATTTAGCCAGTAATGTATTTTGGAATTAATAAAAATTTTAATATTGAACTAAATATTTTTTACAGTGGATGACTTTGATTAATTTGAATAGAGCAATAACAACTACAATCGACTGAAAATAACATGAATAATTAAAGAATAGGTGGAATGTAGCCAGCCGGGACATCCAGAACGCTAGTTTTATCCGATTTAGGACCTGTCAGCTATATGTACCAGGATCTCATAATTGATGTTCACTCCGGGACTCTAACCCAGTGCCTTTCTTTCCAAACGATATCGCGTTAATCGTTTAACTACTGAGTTCAGATAGTTACCCATTTTTGCAATCGGTATGGATTTTGATTCAATTTGAAGTGATTTGGGCTAACCTACTGATAATTTTGACCGAAATTCGACCGATTCATAGAGGATGCACATATGCTAACCAAGACTAATCAAGAGCGGAAACTTGAAGAACCATGAAAGCTATCATCCACAAGATACAGATACTTATTAATAGTTGTCAACGCAAATTACTTCAGATCCGTTGGCCATACACCATCAGCAACAACCAGCAGAGGAAGGAATCAAGAAGAAGAGCTGGAAGTGGATAGAACACATATTGAGGAAAGCACCCAACTGCGTCACAGGAAAAGATCTCACTTGGAATCCTCAAGGTCAAAGGAGAAGATGAAGACCAAATGACACATTTCGCCGACAATTTGATGCAGACATGCAAAGAATGAACAGCAACTCAGTAGAACTGGGAGGGAAGGTCCAAGACAAAGTAGGTTAGAGGATGCTGGTCGGTGACCCATGCTCAGTTAGGGGGTAACAGGCTTAAGTAAGCAAATAAGTAAGTAAGACTGATCAAATTTCAGTTAAAAATGCCCAAATCGTTTCACGTGGAATCAACATAAATTCGTCTCATTTCGCGGTTTCTCAGTACTCCATTCTAAATCGAGTTATCGAAACATATTTATCGGATTAAAAGATCACAAAAGACTTCAGAAAGGAAACCTGTAAGTGTGAATTCTTGATCATGATAATAATAACAATAATAATAATAATAGCTATTATTGATTTATTTAAACTCATAGATATTGGTACAAGAGGGCACCAACTATAGTTACTCCACATAAATTTCCACCAATTTCGAACTATTTAATCCATAGTATTTACAAGGTTTTATCGAGTAATTTAGTGATGTGGCTGGTGATCTAACGGGAAATTATTCAATGTAATTGATTTAGAAATGACGATGAGTAATACCGCTCCTCATATGTTATGAGAAAATGAATATCCCCGAGAGTGAAAGTATGGGTTGATAGCAAGCATAATGTGTTTAAGACTCCCTAATAATTTCAGCGAATGAATGTAAAATTGAGTCATTTAGTGTAATGATCATAATATAAACATGTTCAGTGAAATTTGTTTCATTTGTTTAGACTTAATAGGTTACTCGTCAGTTTATAATCGTCGTCTAAAAGCAGTCTTAAATGTATTACGACATTTATACTTAGATTTGTCAATAAATAATTATAACGTAATGTTTACCACTGAAATTATTACTTTAAAATTTGGTAAACGAACGTTTGAAAATGAGCTTTATCACCAGTTGAGTGGAATTCGCTACTCGAGTTTGAAAATAATGACTTATTAATACCAAATTATCACCCATAAACATGAAATTTCTCCATATACACACTACGATTCTCTTTTACGAATAAATTTATTCATTGGAATAATTGGTTACTATAGTAAAGGTTTCCTAGGTTATGAACAGCTTAGAGATTAGTAGTACTTGTAAACATGTGTAAAATTGTGAAGTCCCGAGGTCAGGAGTAACGTTTAGTTACTTATAGAACAATTCGAAATGCATAATGGTTTAAGTGTTTTGTGAAGATCAATAAACAGATATGACATACGCAGATCGTAAACGACATTTAAATATTCCGGTTTAACATTGCAATGCTTCTAAATAAACTCGGGTTGATAGTGAGTACATACAATTTCCATGATAAATACTAAACTTGAAAATAAAAGCAACCAATATTGTCTTCCGATTACGTTAGATGAAACACACTGACCATTACTTTGATGCTTATAGAATGTGAAGTTACTTAATAAAACATCAATGACATACTGAGCCTATGTAAGACTAGTGTGTAATTCAGTAATTCTGAGATTGTAGGACATAGTCACTGAAGGTGAAAAACATTGATGTTTCCACTATGGCCTATAGGACTACCAGTCACTCAATGATAGTCCGGATACAATTCAAGAAACACTACAGACGATTTACGGTACCGATACTGCATACAGCCGTCTACTACAGGCTCCGTCACTACGGTTCAACAGAAACCAGTTAAAGAAACAAGTGACAACCACAATTTTATCACCTACTTGTACAGTATTTGAACTGAAATACCAAGACCTGGTGCATATTGTGATGTCCTATCACTTGCTTTGTGCAGCTACTCTTTAATCAGTGAAGCTGATGGATCTAGATGATATATGAGCAGGTCTGCGATTCACCAAATACCCCGAGGCAAAACCACCTTAGTTCGATTGCCAATTAGTATCACCAATTCCCGTACTTACAGCTTGATCCTAATCTGATTAGTATTACAGATAAAAATGAACTATGTCTGTGACGTTTGACATTACCAAGGCCTCAGCGCCATCATGAAAATTTTGGAACGAGTATTTTGGACAAATTACTACCAAGGGAATGCTGTTCTCTGATGATGTTGCATTATAATCACGAGTCCCTATTTCCCCTCTCCAAGTTTCCAGATCAAACTGTGTATGCTCCGCTGAGTCTTCTGTAGAAACTAGAGCTCGCTTTTGAACCCATCGCAGCCGGTACAATACCCTACAAAATAGACGAACATAATGCAAACTTGCATAACCACGACAAAACAGGCCAAAACTATGCGGGTAATAATACGATAATACCGCGAACGACGATTAAGTCATCAAGAAGCTAAATTTGCTGACCAGTTGAACTCTTTTTCGACCGAGACGAAACCGTAAACAAATTAGGGTCAACCAACGAGACCTCGCAGAGTCAACCGATTACAGTGAAACAAACTGTAGTGAAAACTTTCAAGCCAGATCGCAAGTACTTGAAATCAAACGAAAGATATTTACGTTGATCAATTTATCCTGCATCTTCATGACTAAATTCATAAAGTAGTTAGAAATAATGCAAGACGATTGCAACACACAAATTTATGCAATGAAAATTAAAAAACAATGCAAAGCAACGTAAGTAATACACATTTTAAGTAAATGGTGATAAAAAAGACTACAAAAAAAACCAACAAGCAAAACATACATAATAGTTTTCATTAGTCTAAACGAAAAACAATAGAGTAAATAAATCCAAAATCTGGTATTCTATCAGATTAGAAAGTAATGCTGCTTCCAGAAATAATAAAAACACACAATGACTATAAAAAGAAAGGCACAAGTGCGACATAATTATGTAGTACAATAAAGTAACATTAGATAAAAACAAAACAAATGCGACTGTGTTCACCTTGCCGAAAGTAAGGCGTTAAACATAAATCAACTAAAATAATTTGCGAAAATAAACTAGAGTAACGGAATGGTTGATTCATATGAAATGATGCTGGACTGATGCAAAATATACCGAGTTTGTAGAGAAAGATGATATAGTTAAAATAAATGGAATGAAGTGAGGTAGGGGAAAAAGTAAGTCACTAAGAGAATCCAAGTATAGGTAAACAGATCTGCTGACAGATTTGCCCCAAATAGACAAATGCAAATTATCCATGACATATCATCCCGCCATGGTGACAAAAAGTTGTTCATGAACGGGGATAAAAACTTGAAACCATGTCCTTACCCCCATTAATAAACTTTTTGTCACCATGGCGGGATGATATGTCATGGATATGAGAAAGGAAATACAAAATCTAGTAAACAAATAAGTCGAAAGTAATCAATGCGTGTCGGCGGCCAGTTGCGACCGCCTAGAAATTCTAATCAAAAGAACAGAAATCCAAACAAACAAAAACAGTCAAAAATAATAAAGTATATGGTATTCGAGATAACCTAAGCCTAGAAAACAGGAAAACATATAAAACCGTTTATGGTCAAAATATAAAAGTAAAAATAAAACAGGGTTAACGTTGATCGGTCTGAAGCTATTACTCACGAAGTCCACCATCTTCACCTTCAGCCTCTGATGAAGCTAGAAGCTTGGAAAAATTCATCAAGTCGTGTGGATTTAAGGAACTAGCGCATTCTGAACCATTTTCGACCGCAACACTATTGCAAACTGACACTGGATGATCAGTGTTATCAGACCTGGAGACGGCAGTCCTGCTCAAAATTGTACATACAGACCGAGGGGTGTTTGGGGTCGGAGTCCCAACCCTAGCTTCTTCATGTCCAGCCCCCGATGTGTAATGAGTCATTGTTGAAGATTTAGGTATTTCTTGGCATGTCGAACGAGGTGATAAATGAGTGATATAAGAACTCGACAGAGGCGGTAAAACAGATGCAGCAATTTGTTCCGGAGCGAATGGGGACATTTGATTTTCCCAGTCAATCAACTGACGAAAAGAGACATTACGCCCACCACCGACAATTAAGAGTACATTGGAGGGACGTGGCAACCGGCCTTCCAGCTGTAGACGTGATAGGTAACCCGAATATATGGTCGAGAGAGCTGCTCCACAAGCCGGATCAACAAGCATCCCATGATCATCTAAAACGTATAGGAAACCTCTAAATTAGTGATACCATAAGATTATTATCTGATCATTGAAGAAAACGTTTATGGCCTTAATATATATTTTGAAGCAAGCAATGAAAACAATCAAGCTAAGACAGCAGTGACATCTGTCAGAATGTGGTCAACAGATTTACAACTAGACTTAAATAGATTTCTTAAAATTGCTACATGTAACATGCTGCTAACCTTTAACTGATTTTAAGCGACATGGTTAAGATACTATTAGCTTACACAAGTGCAACGCAAATTACTTTTCATGATTGAAAAAACCAACGATCTTCATACATACTTAACGAATACGTTTCTAATGATGAGAAGGTTGAATTAGTTTGCTAGTTAAGTCCACTTCACGCCTAGTTCGGTTAACAGATTGGCTTCAGCGGTAACTATCGTCGAAATCACTGAGTTGATAGGAATGAAGTCGTTATCAACATAAAAAAAGTTAGTGCAGTAACTTGTGAAATCGTTAAAACAAAATCTCACCTAGAAAACGTTTGACACCATCAACTGCCTCTCCATCTGTGCAGGTCACTGCACTAATTGAATGGCATTGAGACAGGTTCCAAGCACGTTGTGCCAATACTGGAGCGCTGAGAGAGGTAGCGATCGTCGAGCTTCGTGGGATAACTGCCAACTGGCCAGATTTCAACGAGCGGTTTAAACAATCTGCCCCCTCCGTCTCCACAGTTACGACATGCGTTGAAGACCATCCTCGGTTCCACAAACCCTAAACATGACAAAATACCTCATGAAAATCTTTAGACAACAGGCCTAAAAAAGAAAAACTATAGGGTTTTCTAAACAATTACTAACTGAAAAGTATATTAACATTGTCTTTTGGACTATTCATTTATTTATCACACACGTAGAAGAAGCCTAAATATATAGATTTTTGTTGTGAACGGATGTCAGCATATGAGTTGGTTATACGCCGTGATGGAAAAAAACTGAGAAATGTTTTACATTAAATGTTGATATGGGTCAAATGGTTCGATTTCTAATCAGTGAACTATGCACCTAAGCCTGTATCCTCACTATTCACTGTGATTTACGAGATAATCAGTCAGCTACAAGGCAGAACAGCGTACGTATGTACGTACACCAGTGCCAGTTATCATACCAAATTAGCACAGATGTGTAATGTTAGCTCACGAAGTATTCACACATAGATGTCATGATACCGAATTCAGAGATAGGTAAATTTTTTAATTTGGCGATACTCACTTGTATGACACCCGCGAGCAATCCTCCACCACCAACAGCGACAACTATGGCATCTGGTTGACCGATCTCTGGAGTAACCTCGTCGATGATGGTCTCGTATCCTTCCCACAATTCAGGGTGATCATATGGATGAAGAAGGCGTACAGTGGGGTCATTGTGCCCGGACTGTAGATCGTTTACTAGTTGTTCAGCCCGGTGATGTGCCTCCAGGAAACTGGTACCGCCAATGACGATCTTGGCTTCGTGTGCCTCCAAAGACAGGCGCCGTCTAATAGTTGACTCGAGAGCTTCAGGGACTACCAGCGTGCAGTTAATTCTGTACGTATGGGCCACAAAAGACGCAGCTATGCCTGCATTTCCAGTAGTTGGACAGACAATATGACTGACCCCAGCGGCTGCCCACTGAAATAGATTAAAAAAGCAAACGAGGTAAGTATTGGCGTTTAGTTAGTCTGTTACCATCTAGACGTTTTTCTACAGACAACGACAACTTGCTATCGTCAGCCATTGTGCATAAAGAACCGTGGAAGGAGTTTGAAATATGTCTATCTACGCGTGTATTAAGCAACGGTTGTAATTGGACACTATAACCTTTTTTATCGTTTACAGCGCTACCGAGGACTTTTATTATTATTACTTCGTAGTTTGTCTTTTAATTTGCTTAACGTTCACATCACTCAGATAGTATTCAATTGCATTAAAAGCAGGTTGGTGCTAAAACCCAGTTTAGACATCCTAAATAAGTGACAAAGCACGGCTCGAATAGAGGCAAACAGACCGGCAGGGAGATGATCAAGCCATTTTAGTTTTTATTGTATTACTAATTAGCGGTTTTGCATCACGCTGTCGAAACTGAAGTATAATTGTTACAACACCAGAAGACAGGTGTAGGTGGAGTGGAAAAGAGAACATGCTTTACAAACGAATAGCAATGAAACAATACTCAGAAATTTATGTATCAGAATCCAAGTGACATTTAAATACACTAGACGTAATTAAATCGATAATAATTTAAACACCGTGCCTGGTTACTGAAAAGTAAAATCTGGCAGAGTCATTTTCTAACTCATGTAGATGTATCAAAAACGTGCTGGCATTGCTGCTGTACGAAATGAGAAGACATTGCACCTTACAACGGTTTCCATCGAACAGGTCTGTCATCTGAGTATTCCATATCAATATGAAAATTCCCAGGTAAGTCAAATTCTATAGGGTTAGGTGATACTTATGATTGCTATGAGAAGTGTCCATGGAGGAAAGCAATGGGCTTTTATACAACCTGGAAAAAAGCAATTTTTAAAAATATTATATTCAAGCAGATCGGTTCTGAATAACTTGCCTTGCGAATCAAATTTTCTACACCACGAATTTTGAATGATCCAGTTGGTTGGATGTTTTCTAGTTTGAGCCATATATTTATCTGACAACCCCGCTGCGTTAAAAAACTCGTCAGCTGAGGACTTGGTATCAAAGGACTTTTAACGGATAAGCGCCTGTAAACTCCAGCTGTCATAGTAATTGGGTTTATTTCACCAGAACGTCCAGTTTCCGAAAGTGAGTTCATGATAGACCGCTGTTGTGAAAACATCCATGGAGAATGACTCTGTGCGTTCGCCATGTTTCTGAGAGAATGTTCCAACTTTGGCTGGTCACTGTCTGTAGCTCGTTGCGAGCTGAGTGTATTTAGTATCGAGAATTCTCTGGATGAGCAGCGATCAATCCCAGTTGCTAAGCCTGACGAACTCACACTATGATGAGCTTCAAGAAAATCCAAGACATCCAACGAACTGGTTTGTGAAAGGACGTCGCGATTGAAGATTGATGTTAAGTTGGGATCACTCACTATAAAAATAATTTGAACATAAGTTATACAGCCAAACACTAATCTACTCAGAAATAACATGAGGTTTTATGTGGCTGGTAAATCGTGCTTGTCTTGTCTAATCAACTTAGCATCTTGAGAATGTTTCTGACGACGAATCGGAATCGTAAGCTAACGATGTAATTATTTATCTAAGCAATCGATTGTTCGATGGTCTGAATGCACGAATAGTGTCTAGTTAATTGCATCCAACTCAAATTCTGCAATCCGTTGGTAGTATGATGAATAATGGTTGAACACTAAGACAACCAATAAATTCCGTGCACTAACGCGTTCAACTTGACCAAACCAAGTATCTTAACTATAGTTAGTTAACCGTTGATGCCAACTTGCCACCGAAATGACTAAATAGTAGAGATACCCACGGTTTATGGTTGTTGCGAAGCAACAATCAAAATATGTATTTAACATGCTTGAAGCTTGGTAATGAAATCGAAAGACAAGACAGGAAAAAAATCTTACCTTTGTTTCGTATAATCGGTCGAGGAGGGCCGCCAAAAGATGGGTTTGATGTAACCTGCAGTGAACCGCTAGAATCTACCGCCACATTCAGAGAAACTTCAGGGTTTTTAGTCTCTGCCATAAACTGATTTTGCGAATTTCCGTGAACAATGCAGCCTGGTGTGTTAAGTGTTCGTCTGTTTAACACATTTGTGAGTATATCCGATTCGGCCAGAGGATCCGTGTTACTGTTACCGTTAGTTGTCCGATTCAGTGGAAATGATGGTGAATGGCGCGAAGAGAAGTAAAACAATCCATAGGTTTCTCTTGTCACTGAACCAATTAGTCTTAATCTCAGTGGCGATGTCCACTCTGGAGCCTGGTAACCGTTTAAGCGCAAAACAGAGAGCTCAGCACTACGAAATGAAACAAATACACAGACCTACTTATTTTTTTCCTGGAAAATGACCGATGCACTTGAAGTGAACTTGCTGTCTGCTGATTCTGAACTCATATCACTTGAAGCTCCATTCAAAGCAGGGCTGAGACGCGATTTCTGACCCGGTGGAGAATCAGGAAATTGAGGAGCTAATAATCTAATAACCACTACGGCCCCGAAATTAGAAAAGAGACGCTGTTAACGTAAGCTTAACGGCAGTGTCAACCTACGAGTAAATCCGGTTCAGTCCACTCCACAGGTATTCCAGTGACTATGATCTCCCATCCAATTATATTTTCATTGGTGACTTCCGGATTCACCGAGCCTGGAAAACTAGCTCCACTGGAAAATGTTTGAAGACGATGTCCTGAGACATTAACTGGGAATTTGCAACTTACCAGGGGTGAAACGACGACCGCCCGAACTAGCGTACGCCACACGCAGTCGTTTCTGTTCGGTCTCGTAACCATGATAAGTTTGTATCGCCAAAGCAGCATGTTGAGGATTCACAAAATCCACGAACCCATAACACAAACTTGCACCCGTGTTCTGTATATAAGTTATTCGATAAAATAAAAGCATTTTTACTTTGTCTCGAATGAGCTTGCACTGTCTGATAGGTCCAACGCGCTCAAAAAGACGCTGGAGATCATTTTGATCGTAGCTCTGAGGAAGGTAGTTGATGATCAAATTGGTACGTGAACGATCCTCATTGAAAAGAGTGCTTCCATTCCCATTCTGATTGTTATTCGCTAAATTCAAACCAAGAAATTTGAGACGTGACATAGTATCAATGCTGTTCATGTTTGTTCCGTTGATATTCAAAAGTGGACCGGTGACTGAGTTGTTATTCGAATCTTGGAAAGGAAGCGAAGGAAAAACATCCGACAAATTGCTGCCCATGCATCCATTTACATGCATAATATCTGTCTCTAAGATCTGATACGGTAACGACAGCACGCAGCACCAGATCAAATTCAAAATGCCGCGCAAACGCTGGAACCCATGAACTTAAAGGAAGATTGTCCTGATGCAGTAAAACTCTTAATCTAATGAGTATAGCTATTTCACTTGAAATTTAAAATGAAAGTCAATTCCAGCCTTGATGGATATAGCCCATGATCCCTTTGATTGATATCTATTCCTTGATACAATGCATCTTTCATTTGGAGATTTAAATACCATCTGAAGCAGCTATCCGTCTGGCTACCTAGTCTATAAACTTTAGCAAGGTAACCCCGGATTTATCTCCAGAAACTAATTTGTTAAGTTAACATTATAAAATCTAATGTCATGCTGAAAGCGATCTCCAGGCCTATAGTTCACATTCTCCTCGACTCAATGCAAAATAAGTGACCAGTCAATATAATCAGCATTCGATTTCGCATCGACGGGTGAGGTGACCAGCTTTTCTTCTGCGGCATTAGGTTTTCTCTCTCGCATTACACGCACTGTATGATTGTGGATCACTATGAATGTCAGGTCGTGGCGTTTGTTGATCTTATATGAGGAATTTACCTGGCCTCACAGCTGGATTTGCTGGAAATTTACTGAAGTTGCGAAAAGCTCAGAAGTAATGCGATTTTGCCGGGTAGATGCTGTAAGTATAAACTAGATGAAAACTTTGGGTTACAGCATTATTTCTTGGCACCTGTAGATTAAATTTACTTGACGAACCGTTATCTTGTTGGTTGTGGCTCATGGGTAACCAGTGAAACGAACAACGAGAACCCATCCCTTTTTCTGATTGTTGCACTGGACTTGAATTTCATAACAGTAGCAATTCTTTATGGTTTTTCCAGTCGACAAACCTCAGTACACAGGATTTTGAAAATCCGTATACCAGGTAGATGCACTGCTATCCAATAGTCTATATTCAGTTTGTTACTCCGTTCTGGATACTTGATTCTTGAACGATTGCAAATATATATGCAGAGCAGCAGAAACAAGCACAGCCCTGAGCTTGATTTATTGTCTCTTCTACTTGAGGACTAACTATTTCCTGAATCATGTCAACTGTTAGGTCGAGACATGCTTCTACCAGCCAGGTCACAAGGATTCGCACTACCGGCATCATGCCAACTTTCCTATAAACGTTTATCTGTATGTTGCCTCAATCCCTCCAGGATAAGAGGATATGATTTCAATAGATATGGATGAACTTGTTGGACGAAGATGTCAACGTCTGTGAACCAAGTGACTTGAGTCGATATGCGGAGCCAGAGTACGAACTGGCGACAGAAACTTTGATAACTTGCCGGTATAGTTCAATTTTCGCTCCTTTTTCAATTACAAACCATGCCCTTAGTTCTTCGATTTTGTTGTGGACTCAGTATAGGACTGTAACGGAACTTATTGTATATCTACAAATATAAATTAATATATCACTGCTTAACAACTAGCAAATTTATAGGTCAAAATGGAGAATAAATCCAAGAAAGGCTCGCAGGTCATTAGAAATATAATTTTCAGAATTTTGTCATAATCCTGTCAAAATACATTTTTCTCACTGTAACATTTGCAACTAACTCCACCAGTAGAACGTTAGGGGCTACTGTCGGTCCCAAGCCCGGATAAAGGAGGAGGTTTGGACATGGGGTTGGCGACCCCATTACGTCGAAATCTAACTTGCCGAAAAAACGCTAACCAGAAAAAATAATTCAAACCATTTTCAATCTGCCATGGCAGTTGGAAGAAGAATTATGACGTCGCGTGATGAAAGCCGAATTCCCTCGGAAGTCACGTGGCCGATGCCTCTTCTGACAATCACACCAACCATTCTTTTAGGTACATGGAACGTTCGTACATTGTGGGAGACTGGAAGACTATTTCAAGTTGCGGCAGAAATGAAAAGATACAACCTCGAGGTGCTCGGCATCAGTGAAACGCATTAGACACAGGAAGGACAACTGAGACTAGCTTCAGGGGAACTGCTGTTATACTCTGGTCATGAAGAGTAAAATGCTTCACATACACAAGGAGTTGCACTGATGCTGTCCAAACATGCACAAAAGGCACTAATAGGATGGGAATCTCATGGACCCAGTATCATTAAAGCATCCTTCAAAACAAAGAAACAGGACATTACAATGAACGTCATCCAATGTTATGCACCTACCAATCACTACAATGACGACGTTAAAGATCAGTTCTACGAAAGGCTGTAGTCAATCGTCGAGAAATGTTCACCAAAGGATTTGACGATTCTTATGGGAGACCTGAATGCCAAGGTTGGAATGGACTACACTGGATATGAAGAAATCATGGGACAACATGGATTTAGAGAAAGTAACGAAAACGGTGAGAGATTTGCAAACTTATGTGCCTTCAACAAACTGGTCATCGGTGGCACAATATTCCCGCACAAACGCATGCACAAAGCCACATGGATTTCACCGGACCACACTACTCAAAACCAAATCAACCATATCTGTATCAACAAAATGTTCAGAAGGACCATGGAGGATGTGAGAACCAAGAGATGAGCTGACACAGATGCACATCACCACTTGCTGATCGCCAAAATGAAATTTGAACTCAAGAAACACTGGACAACGGTGCAGACAACGTCACAGAAGTTTAATACGGCCTTTCTTCGGGATATCGTAAAACTCAACGAATTCAAGATAACCCCCACCAATAGGTTCCAGGCCTTTCAGGATCTACTCAATTAAGAGGAACCAATCATGAAAGGAATCAAAGAGACAATCATTTCTGGGTCACAAGAAGTACCATCACAAGGAATGGATCTCTGTTGATACTCTTGCAAAAATTGAAGAAAGGAGGAACAAGAAGGCAGCAATCAATGTCAGCCGAACAAGAGCAGAGAAAGAAACCGCACCAGCTGCATACACAGAAGCAAACAGGAAAGTGAAGAAGAGCATCAGAGCTGACAAGCGAAAATATGTTGATGATCTAACAATGACGGCGGAAAAGGCTGCAAGAGACGGAAACTTGAAACAATTGCACGAAACAACAAAGAAGCTCGCCGGGAACTATCGTAAACCAGAACGACCAGTGAAAAGCAAGGTGGGCAAAATAATCAGCAACACTGAAGAACAGCGAAACAGGTGGGTGGAGCACTTCAAGGAACTCTTGAATCGGTCAGCTCCGCTGAACCCACCCAACATCGAAGCAGTATCCACGGACCTCCCAATTAATATTGTCGCACCTACAATAGAATAAATCAGTATGGCCATCAGACGAATTAAGAGTGGCAAATCAGCAGGACCAGACAACATTACAGCAGAGGCAATGAAAGCAGATGTAGAAGCAACTGCGAAAATATTTCACATTCTCTTCAATAAGATTTGGGATGAGGAAAAAGTACCATCAAATTGGAAAGAAGGATACCTGATCAAAATACCAAAGAAAGGCGATCTCAGCAAGTGTGAGAACTACACAGGCATCACTCTTCTTTAAAATACCAGGCAAAGTCTTCAACAGGGTATTATTAAACAGAATGAAGGACTTCGTAGACGTCCAACTTTGAGATCAGCAGGCTGGATTTCGTAAGGATCGATCGTGTACTGACCAAATTGCTACATTACGGATCATTGTGGAACAATCAATTGAATGGAACTCACCACTCTACATCAACTTCATCGACTACGAGAAGGCATTCGATAGCGTGGATAGGAAAACACTGTGGAGGCTTCTTCGACACTACGGTGTGTCTGAGAAAATAGTTAGCATCATACGGAATTCGTATGATGGATTCGACTGCAAAATCGTACACGATGGACAGCTAACAGACTCGTTCGAGTTGAAGACCGGTGTGAGGCAGTGTTGCTTACTCTCACCCTTTCTCTTTCTCCTGGTCATCGACTGGATTATGTAGACGTCAACAGCTGGAGGGAAGCACGGTATCAACTGGACAGTTAGGACGCAGCTGGACGATCTGGACTTCGCAGATGACTTGGCTCTTCTATCTCAAACGCAACAACAAATGGAAGAGAAGATGACCAGTGTAGCAGCAGCCTCTGCAGCAGTAGGTCTCAACATACATAAAGGAAAGAGCAAAATTCTCCGATGCAACACAACATGCACCAACCAAATCACTCTTGATGGAGATGCCTTGGACGACGTTAACAACTTTACATATCTGGGCAGCATCATCGACGCGAAAGGTGGATCCGATGCAGATGTGAGGGTGCGGATTGGCAAAGCAAGGGCTGCATTTCTACAGTTGAAAAATATATGGAACTCCAAACAACTTTCAACCAAAACCAAAATCAGGATTTTCAATAGAAATGTGAAGACAGTTCTACTGTATGAGGCGGAAACATGGAGAACTACCAAAGCCATCATCCAGAGGATACAATTGTTTATTAACAGTTGTCTACGCAAAATACTTCGTATTCGTTGTCCAGACACGATCAGCAACAACGTACAGTGGGAGAGAACAAACCAGATGGCAGTGGAGGAGGAAATGAGGAAGAAGCGGTGGAAGTGGATAGGACACACATTACGAAAAGCACCTCACTGTGTCACGAGACAAGCCCTCACATGGAACCCTCAAGGCCAAAGGAAACGAGGAAGGCCAAAGAATACATTACGCCGAGAAATAGAGAAAGATATGAGAGTAATGAACAAACATTGGACAGAACTGGAGAGGGAAGCGCAGGACAGAGTTGGTTGGAGAAAACTGTTGGATGGCCAATGCTACATTGGGGGTAACGGGTGTAAGTAAGTAAGTAACATTTGTAATTGCAAAATTTTTTTTCCTTTTGTAGTCAGTTTATTGTGTTTGCCCACAAACAATGAGACTTGATTATAGTTAGCAGTTGATTAAAAATATTTAGATCGTAAGTGATCAAGTCAACGTACTCACTATGCATTCTAGAAACAATGATAACAACAAAACAGTTCATCCATATACTTGCCTACAAATATATTTCAGAATGTTTTCATCGAGTGTGTCTTTCAATCTCCATAGATAATCCAACACAGGGATATTGTGTGCAACTGAAGACTTATTAGGATACAGCAAACATTTAGTTTTATTTTTGCAGTTAACAATCAGTAA